TCAAGTCTGTTCCCTCAGTACGCAGAGTTGATAGGGATAGCAACTTAGACATTGGCTACCAAAAATGGGGGCTATAAAGGCACAAAGTGACTGTCTTACACGTTTTCAAGAGTGTGTTTAGTTTCGGAATGAGGGGGGTAAGATAGAATCCCCACTGAATAGTTTTCCTCTTGTCTAGATGGGTCTGATGAAAGGAGGTGGGGGAGAATAGGGATAGGATTCTTTTGAATCAATAGTGAGTGTAATTGTTATCATAACTAATTGCAGTTGTCACAACTGTAAACGCAGAAGATGTGAAACAAAAAGGGGGAAGTAATTAATCTTTCATTTCAGGAACAGAGGACCTCAGGACCATCAAGAGGACCATCATCCCACAGCATGAGCAAGTGTGGGATCTTAACCAGAGATGGAGGGTGGAGTGGGCGATGGACAGCAGACAGAAGCAGAGGCCAGAGGCAATGGCATAGACAGAGCAGCTGAGGACTCTAGACCCATGGAGTGAGAAAGGCTGTGTGCCGGTGGCCAGGAGGCTGGCTTATAAAATATGCCCTTTGGACCTTTAAACGAATATATAATTTCTATGTGTTTTGTGTACATCCATAAAGAGGGAGTGGAGGTTAATACTGTTAACTAATGGTGCTTGGAGGGGACTGTAATCATTGCCGACTCATAGCGACCCTATGCATAGCAGAACGAAACAATGTCTGATCCTGGGCCAACCTCACTACCGCTGCCACACCTGAGTCTATCAATGATGTCACCTGGCCGATCCATCTCATTGAGGGTCTTCCTCTTTTTCTCCTACCCTTCATTTTACCAAGCATGATATCCTTCTCCAATGACTGTTCCCTCCTGACAATATGTCCAAAGTATGAGAGACGAAGTTTAGCCATCTTGGCCTCCAAGGAGCACTCTGGCTGCACCTCTTCCAAAACAGATCTGTTGGTTCTTTTGGCAGTCCATGGCACTTTTAGTATTCTCCTCCAACACAGTTCAAAGGCATCAATTCTTCTACGA